CCCTTGCTCTTACAGCTGTCTACGCGACCTGCGTCGAGCCGCCCCTCGCTCGGTTTTTTCTCTGAACCGCCAGTCGCTGGCTGCCTTCGTCGCCTCTGCATCTCCGCCTATCCATGTAGAGTCGCCATACGTCGCCACGACTCGCCCTCCGCTGTTTGCGTTAAGCCGCTGCGGACAACCCGCCTCGTCAACTGGCCTCTGTGGCCAAGGCCTCGCCCTTGCTCTTACAGCTGTCTCCGCGACCTGCGTCGAGCCGCCCCTCCTCGGTTTTTTCTCTGAACCGCCAGTCGCTGGCTGCCTTCGTCGCCTCTACACCGGTAACCGCCGCTGCGGACAACCCGCCTCGTCCCCTGCGGCCGACCCGGCTATTCCGCCTCACACCGCCAACAGCAGGCGGACCATATGATGCCAACCATCGCCTCGTGCACCCGCCTGGTGAAGACGCCAAGTCGCTGCACCTGCTCCCTAGGCGTCCCGGCTTAGAGACAAGTCAGACTCGTGCAAGGCAAGAAGGTGAGAGCAGCAGCTTAGTAGCGTATGCAGCAGGCTCAAGTTTTTTTTAAGGCTCAGCAAGGCAAGATTTTGGGATGGAGAAACTTGAAGTGGACTTGTCAAAAGTATTTGGTGGTGATACACCGAGAAAAGTTCAAGAGCTGAGGAGAAACAATAAGTGCAGATTAGACAGGGAAGAAAGAACCCATTGTGGAAGAAACAGCTGACCAAAGAATTTGATCAGCCAGCAGTACTAGCTCTAATAAAGTTAAAAGGTATCCCACGTGAAGCACCAAGAACTGTTCAGCTCTATAGTTATTTGATGGCGTTTATAGTGTCGCTTCCAACAAATTGTCGAGCGCCCAATTCAGACAGACGCACCATCAATACTGCCGGAGCAGTGTCAGTATTCATCATTACCGTGCCATCCAGCAGACATGTCTACAGCTTGCCGTCGTACGGTCCGGTTTGTAATAACACACCGGAGGTCGTGCTATCGTCTGCCCGCATGGAGCCGCTCACATGGATGCATATACAGGTCGCCCTGACATTTCAGCTTACTTTTTAGAAAAAGGAGAGGAAAAGAAAAAGAGGAGGAATTAACCTTGGAGAAGGCAGGAGAGCCGGCCATAGTAGAGCCGCCAATTAAGAAAAAAAAAGGAGTCAACATGACCCGGAGGATCTGTTTCAAGCCGCTCGGTTCCAGCGCTTTAAAGCCTCCACTTTCACTACGGTCTCCAAAGGTGGTGCCATGTTGTGCCTATGAAGTGTACGTCAGCACCATCACGCACCGGCGTCTGTGCCCACTTACTGATGGAACAGGTGTGCGCAAGTCGCTGCCCGTGCATCTTAATTTACGTCAACCCGTCGGAGCCGCATTGAGCCGCCCTTGCTGCTTTGAGCCGCCGGGTATATTAAGTCGCTGGTCTGCCTGAGCCACCGGAACTATATTCAGTCGCTGGTCTGCCTGAGCCACCTCTGTCGCGATAAACGGATCATCCTCATCCAAACAAATCAGGTGATATCCATCCAAGTTTGTTTACTTATCACATGTTGTTTTTGTCAAAGAACAAGTTTATCTTTGCCTTGGTCTGCAATATTGTTTATGCAGGGCAATTATTTATGACAAAAAGTGATATTATACCGCGGAGGTGGAGGTATGCCAACATCTTTTGGCACCGGTGGTCGTCGTTACTCAACGGACTCCCGCACCGGCTTACAATGCCGTGGCCGTCACTCGCGACTGCGCCGGCTTACAACGTTGTGGCCGTCTCTCGCGACCACGCCGGCTTACAACAAGGAGGACAACTTGCCCGTCCGCACCGGCTTACAACACCACGGCCGATTCATCAGTCTGTGCCGCCTCAGATGTGGCGGTTGTCCTTACCGTCCATCTCTTGTGGCCTGGTCTACATCAACACATCGGGCCACACCTATCTGCATGAGTTGTTTATTGAGTATGAGCAAGTCACTACTTGGGAAGCCAGTTTTCTTCCAACAAATTGGAGGCAAATCATCATGTATTATCAGCCGCCGTCTGCACTGGATGACTCAATGGGCAGGCGCACAAGTCGCCGCCACTATGGTTTGGTTAAACTTCAAACAGCCAGTTGGAAGGAACCATTGGCCGAGTTGCTGACACGGTTCATACGGGATCATTTATAACCCGCCGCAGACACCTCAACCTTCTGTGAATTCACACCGAGTTATCAACACCAATGATATACACCTTCTGCTATGGTCAAATATGGAGAATCTCAAGCCAACTCTTCGAGTCATCTTGAGACTCGGGGGCTACAATGGTATGGCTCGGCAAAATTAGCCGGTTTCAATGAATTCAAGAGCTCCAGGTCACTGAAGGGAAGATAACCCGGCCCTGGAGGCTACTGCTTTGTTGGCGAATATTTAAAAGCCGTCAGAAAAATTTCCGGTTCAAAATGAAGATTCCGGTTTAAAATACAGCTCAAGAGACATCTCTCTCCCGCAATGCTTTGAAGCTCTCAAAACCAGTTCAACATCCGGATCAAGGTAAATTTGTCCCTTACAAAGCTTTGAGGATCTCAATATCCGGTTTAAGAATTTCCGGTTCAAAAAGAATTAATCTCTCGCAAGTTCAAGATCTCAGACAAATTAATGGTTA